ATCATCATCATCATCATCATCATCATCATCATCATCATCATCATCATCATCATCATCGAAAACATGACATCATTGTTCAACACCGATGCTTCGCTGCCGTAAAATAATTGATCTATTTGAAAGCCTTACGATGAAGAAAGGGATAACATTGGATGGGGAGAGGACTTGGCGCTAGCATCAGCAGATCCAACCCACAGCTTTTCGGGTAAAAGTTAAAGAGGATATCGATTAAATAAGAACTAAATCAAAATTATGCTCAGAAGTGAAATACGAAAAGTCAGTTGAATCGTCATGTCAAGGTTATCACTGTAAGAACCAAACAGCGCAGATCACGTGAATCGAATTATTATGAATGAATGGAGTCCACTGTACCACGTAGGACTTCTGCTGTTCAAATTTTTCTCGAATTACCTGGGATGCATACTAGTGATGAGCTTCTGCTACACCACAAGCTGACAACATCCACAAGCAAACACAGGCAGCAAATAATGGAGACAGGGGATCTTTGCCAGCTAAGCCGCGCCACCAATGCAAAAAGTGAATGCGCGAAAAGTTAAGCCCCGCCACATTTTGCCAGCTCCAATTTAATGCACGCACACAACCTTGACCTATTTTTGATGAAGGCAATACCTTATCCGCATCTAGGCTCATTTTGTTCAAAAATTTTCTCCGTTCTCACATAAAACCTTAAGTGAACTTCCTGAGGCTTTCAACTCCATGACAAGACAAGGAGACGGCAATACGTTTTTTGCAAAGCCACGGAGTGATCCATCAGCAATGTGTATGCAACAATGGTCACCACACGTTCAACAGTTCAGTTTCTGACAAGTGGAGGTGTAATGCCAGACAGTGTCGGCAAGAAATCGGTCTTCGAAAGGGAACTTGGCCGGAGCGGTCTAGGATGAAGTTTAGGATAGTACTATTATTCATTTATTGCTGATCCAAAAAATTAGCAATATTCAAATTCTGCTCAGAAGAATTATCTATTAGCCACAGGACCGCTGTTGACTAGAATAACTCTCTGAATGAAGTTTGCGCCTGCCGGCTGTTGCAGACTCCAACAGTTATCGACGGCCCAGGTCTACACGTCTACAAGATGCAGAATAAATGCCAATACGGCACACACCGATCCTTAGTGTACAGCTACCCGTGTGAGTTCGTTTGGAGGCAAAAGTACCAAAAAACGGACCTTTACATGCAAATTACTAATGATATGTCCCAATTTAACCCTCATCACTAAAAACTAAAAGTACGAATTTCATATCCTCTTTTTTCTAGCTTTTTTTGGTTGGGTGACAGGGTTTAATTTTTTGTGGAGCTTATCTGGAAAAGATCCGAGACAGGACCTCCAACTTGAATTTGCCTTCAGGAATCAAGCTGGGCAGTTTTAACCCTGGCCAGTCGATGTTAGTCCCAAAGCCACCGCGATTCCGGGCTCTGACCGTTTTGTGGAACATTAAAAACTTCAAAGGGACAAGAATGATGGCGACAGAACCAAGAGTCACTGCCACAATCTGTCGGAAGATACGCAACCTCTTCACAGTCAAACTCTGCAGAGTTTGGGGGAAAACGTGAGAATTTTATTCATGCCAGGAACATCAGGCGGACGACAAATGGCACTAACAGTACAAAATTTTTAATCATCGTCATTAAAAAAAGTCCATCTGTGTTGAAGAGCACATTACACTTGTTTTTCCATTATTGCGAATCACCAGCAGTTAGCGTCTCGAACCCCGGCTAGAAGTTTGAGTAATTAACCGTTTCGTCACGAGCGGCTGATCAGTAGTATCACTTATGCAGCATCACCCATCAATCTGTCACAGAATCTACAACATGTGGTTACTAGTGTTGACTAATTCCTTGAGTGAGGACTGCTCATTTGGAGATTTCTATCATCAGGTGAATTTTTTCGCTTCCTCTGAGGTACCTATGGATACTCAGATGTATACATAAGGGTCATCAACTCTTGTGTAGTCAGCAAAACGATTAATTGATTCACCCATTGAAATTCGATCGAAGCAGAAGTACTGTGTGGATGCATTTGGGCTGGAGTGCGATGGAATAACACAACGCTAAAATTTCCAAGTTCAATGGTGTACTTTTAGGCCACCTTAAGTTAACTCCACAAACTATATGCTTTCGCTTTGTCATCCGACTACTCATATCCTGTTAGTAGTGTACGTGTTCGCACAAGTCTGATTAGGACCTTGCCGCTAAAGCAAGGGTACAGTATGGTGATCCCTTATTGAATGAGGTCATGACATATTTAGTGCGAATGTTGAGTGAATAGTATTCTGTCAGCCATTATCTGAAGTATTCTATGGCGTCAGGGGAGTATCAAACTCTG